AACTTTTCCCCTGAGAATAGCCAATAATTAGCTAAAACCATGAGTCTTCACTTGTTCATATATACAGACGGTGCTAGATATTGGCGAAACACTTAACGGGTCTGGGTCCGTGTCTAGAAAATTAATGCCACCCGGGTCCGGGTCTGGAAATTTGATATCAACCGAGTCTGGGTCCGGGTTCATAAAAACATGGACCCGCTACTCTCTAGTCTGTCGACGTTTTAGATGACTAAAAGTCAATCAGATCCCAATTCAGATCAAATAAGTGAAAGAACTGTGCTAACAGCTTCTAGGATTGGAAAAGGGACTTTTTTAGCTGTTCCCTTTCGATTTCAATGATGTTTTGCCTTTAGATACTACATAGTGTTCTAATAAGAATCCTAAAAGCATTTATTTAAATTCTTATTAATATTTGACGGATGAAGAAATTATCTCAAGTGACATGTACCGTTTGAGCTCGTATTTGACCCACAGACAGGTCTCAATGAGAATAGCAAAACCTGAAAGAATTCATCCTCCGTCGCCTAATTTTGAACGGCTTACTGAAGTTCTAATAACTCTTAAAATATCCTGAAAGTTTTTAGCTGAAAATGATGTTCTTTAGTCAAGATATTGAATTTTCAAAAATAACCCTTTGCCTCACCCCACCCAAAAATCAAGTTCACTTAAATATTCTGTTCTCAATGACTAGCACCAATCACAGTCCGTATTGATTGAAGAATAAGAGATTGTAGTCGATATTCTAATAAGAAATAATATGATCTATTTGATGAATTAAATCTTGAATGGTTTATATTAGGTGTAGTAACAAAATCTTCTTATCTACTGAATTTTTAGGCTTTAAACATAATCGAAAACTTTCAAATTAATGCACGAAAAGTAGCTGGATCAGTCATGCCTGCATCGGTATTAGCTACTGGTTTCTCAACTTTCTCAACTAATACTAATAATTATGGATCATCAGCGGGTTATTCAAACAATTCACTTGATACTACTTTTTTTCAACCTTCATATGGATTGTATGTATAAACAAATATTTGTGTATTTCTTAATTAATCATTTTTTGTTCGTGTTTTTGTCTAGCAATCGCCCGCCAAGTCCAAATCCTCAACGGAAACAGCAGGCACCTACAAATCCATCTTCGAGTACATTTCCAACACGTGAACCACCACCACCGCCACCACCACTTCGTCCAAGTCCTGTGCCTAGTACATTTGGTGGAAATCAATCAAATTTACCTGCACCAATTATGCCGCAGTAAGTATTCATTGATTTCTATGTTTTTTCTTCACGAATACGTTCATGTAAAAATGAGCTGAACATTTCTTTGTCTAACCTCCCTATCAGGCCTACTTCAACTCATAAATCTCAAACAAATACATCATCAAATAATAATAATATCTTCTCGGAATTAAATGAAAAATTGGCAAAAAAAGTAGCGTGAGTGTCTATTACCTAGCCTAAACTATTGATCAACGGATAATTATAAATTTACTCATGCGCTTTTAATTCTAACATCGTTTACATTCTTTTTTGCTCTCATATAATTTTATTGTTTGATGTTGTGTGTGAATGTCTGTACTTATTATATAGGCGAGCTCAGGGTGCAGCGACATCATCATCATCATCACAATCATCAGCTAATATGTTTCACGGATTAGATCCGTTTGCTGCATCTGTACCATCATCTCAGTATCAGAACGGTACTTCAACCCCACCAATACCAGCGTAAGTTTATAATTAACAAAAACGAAACATACACACATATAATTCAACGATTAATATTGGACGCATGGATTTATTCTTTTGTTTTTTTTTTCTTACTAAATAGCATGATTGCGTTTACTAACAGCACGTTTTTATTTTTTGCTTCTACTAATATTGCACTAGTTTTCCAATGCTATTCTTATTTTTGCAGACCGGCTATGAATCAACAAGGCAGAGCAAGTCCGCAGCCTGGGGGCTTGCCACCGCCTATTTCGCCGATGTAAGTTGTCCTATGAGATAATGAATAATTGTCGTTGTTGCTTGATATATATATCTGTCGTCTAATCTCGACACTCTGAAACTTCATACCCCGACATTAGTTTTATTTAATTAATTTATATGAGAACAAATAAATCAATTGTGAGTTTTTTTTTTTTTTTTTAGTCGTCCAACACCATCCATTCCACCACGACCTTTCGAACGCCCACCAGTTCCTCAACGAAATTAGATCTGTTTATTGAATCTGGTATAAAACAAAAATTTTACAATAATCGCTTTTTTTTCTTCTCTTTTTCCTTGATATAGCTTGTTTTTCTCTTTTTTTTCTTTTTTTTTTTTTGTGTATAAAACGTCTTTTGTATGTTCGTTCAATTCATCTAGATACAATTATCTCATTATATTATAACTCAAATTATGATATACACACGCATGTTTATTGTCGACCATTGCACAACATATTATCAATATTTTTTGGTCTCTTGACTGTAAATTTTTCTTTTCTTTGTGGTCCGGTTATTAAAATCAAGAAAATAAAAACTTGCTACTAGAAGAAATTCATCCGTTTAATAGTTTGTGCAAAACAAATATTGAGTAGAGTTTTTACCCCCTTTTTCTAGACATTTACGTAATGGGTGTTGTAGGATTTTTCATTTTTCTTTGTCTATGTGTAATTGTACCTCGCGCTTTTCGAACAGTGTATGCATCACCGCAAAATTGTTTTTTATTTATTTCATTTTTCCAACAATTAATGTTGTTTGTAGAAAAACAAAAAAAGAAAAACTTGAACAACTGTTTATCATAATTCTTATTTCACTCATGTTGTTTGCGTATATTATTATACTATTTTTCCACTTCTGACACAGATATTATACACTGCCCTGACTCACCGTTCGTAATGTCATTGTATGTAGATCTATCTTGTACTTGTTCTTTTTCTTGGCTGAACTCGTTTGTAGCCCTTTTTCATACCTCTATTTTGCGTTGCGCTCATTATCTCGTTAATAAAAAATTCTCGTGATCCTTCATATTTTTTCTTTTTTTACTTTAAAAGTTCAAAGTTTGAAGAGAAATGTTAAATGGGAAATCATCTTTCGACCTCTACGGAACCAAAGAGATTTGATATAATCAGACACCCATCTACTACAACTGATAGTCCTACTACTTATCACTTTAAAGTGGCAACAGAAATAACTAGAATAAAAGTACATTTCTCAGTCCAATGAAAAAATTATATCAGTCTTGATGTAAAAGGATTGTTATCATAGAATTAGAATTATGGAAAATATTTGCCAATGAAATAGTTGTAGATGAAAGTATGTTTGTTTTAATTCACCCACTCTTCATATAAACACAAAAAGTGAGTCAATAAAGCACGAAATTCAGATTGGCACGTTTTAATATATTCTTTATTTAAACCGAAAATATTTTCTATTGAGACAAAACATGTAGCTTAAAGAGAGGAGATACGAATGAAAAATAAAAACATTCCTTTGATTAAAACAGAATTTTTTTTTTGAAAAGCCCGAACGTGTAGTATTAGTTCACGAAAATCTTTAGCTAGGTTATGATTGTCTTTTGACAAACATCGGTTTAATCTAATTGAAACACAGATTTCATATTTTCAATCTTTATGAAATTACCTACTTACCAACATAAGACATGTTTTTATAATTCAATTTCTCTGCCATTTCAAAGAAATAATAGCTTAAAAATAAGGCAAAAACTCGTCTCGATGTACTTAAAAAAAAAGACGGGCACACATGCTTGAATATAAAGAACAGCAAAAATTTTCGTCTGCTCTCATTATAGATTCTGATAATCGACGAGTGGCATGTGATTATTCATAGATTTCTTTTCTATCATGTGGTAAGTAGCATTCTTTATAATTAAAATCATAATAATTATTCAATATATATTGTACATGCAAAATATATATATATATAATTTTTCATACAAATTCTTATGTTATATTTTGAGAATGATTCAACAAAAAGTTTTTATTAAGTTTAAAATAGCTAGGAGGTTTTTTACTTTTCTTATTATTCATCGTTATTTTATCAATGATTGTCATATCGACATTATTTTAAGAAAACATCGGAGTGATCAAATTTATTTTATGTTAATTTAGAAAACAAGACAGCTATTAAGAAATCATCAATATTAACTTGAATTTTATAAGAATTGTTACTTTAATTACCGAAATCAACTTTAAAAATATTGATTTTATGTTTAGTATTGAAAAAGAAACAGTTCTTCATCCAAGTGACAGATTTAGAGTGAAACACTAAGGACAATTATCTTTCCCTTCTAAACTATTTTTCGATTTTTCTAAGCAAAAAACGTTCAAATATGAGCTGATACAAATTCAAATAGACTTTAAAACACATTTTACAACCATAATCACCCTTCCTTTCCAAAAATCATTCGTTCGCCACTGTTTCAGACTTCTATTTTCAGTTACTAATAAGAAATCCATCATAATCAAGAATACTTGAAATTTTCTGATTGATAAAAGCGATGAGTATTAGACGACCTTCAAACGCGTATCTTGCTCTGGGGATACGATATATTGAAAAACCTTTTGTTTTTTTTGACTTGTTGAACTATATGATTTAGTTTTTGACTAATCAATAGTTGAGAAATAGGACAAATATTTTGTTAGAGAGTTGTAGAGTAGTTTCAATAACTGAGAGAGTAATTAGTGGTCGAAATTTCATAACAAAATTCTTCTTTTTAGCTTTTCATTGAAATTATTAATTATATTCAACAATTGAAACGCTTTAATATTTGAACTAATCACATTCATATCTATTTCTGAACTCAAATACAAGTTATAAATAAACGTTAGACGTCAATCATCAGTACAACTTGAGTTCGTATTTGAAAATTTTGGACCCGGTGGACTGTACTCATTGGGTAGTCTAATGTGCAATGATATTTTGCAATTTGCATAAGAAATTAAATCAGTAACAATAATGATTTAAGTTTTATTTGCATTTCTTTGTCTGTTGCAGGCTCTTATTCAGTACTATTTTGAGCTCGTCGGATGCAACATTTCTGTACCCGAATTCGAACCATACTTCAATTGCAACAGAGTTTTTCTTTTTTTATACTAACACACCTCGCATATTTCTTAGACAATTTTGACGATAATATTGTAATAATCAAATCATAATTTGCTGTTAATTTCAGAGTATAGCCCATGGAATCGATCTGGGACTAATCCGACGAATTCTACCATCCTCATTTATTTTAGTTGCATAACATTATCTAGAAAACAAAACTTCAAAATATGAAATGGATGATTGTTCTTAAGCTTGTTAATCGGATGTGTTCCAATAAATTCTATTTTTGTTCTACAAATCTTATTAAAGTTCATGCAGTTGAAATTTATCTAGAGTAGGAAACAGAAAGCAAGACTTCCATGATATTTATATGAGTCTCTTCTAATATGACGAAAATTGAATAAACTATTGCTTTGAAATATTTAGTTAATGAAATTGTTTTTTTTTTTTTTTGTAAAACAGAAATTTATTAAATTATGCGGAGAAGAATCTTTTATTCTAGAAAACTTGAAATTTATTTCAATATTTTAGGCCGTCTCGTTTTAAACAATATTCTATTGTTCAACAACAAGATAATGATCATCACGAAACTGATACTAATTTAGCATTTACAATACCTCGTGAACTTATCACTCGTCAAGACTTAACATCTGGTTCTTTATTTCATGGTTAAAATTTCTACTTCTATTTGTAAAAATTTTCGACGAAATTTTTTAATTTTAGGTGGTATTGATATTCCATCAATAAATGCTATTGATCCAATATTACAACAGCCCGTACATATAACTAAATATCTTTGTTTAAAATCAAAGACGAGTACACAACAATATATAAATCATCTTTATGAACGAATTCTTTTAACTAGTCAATTATCACATCAAAATGTTCGTCGAATATTATCTTGGTATATTGCTGATGGATGTCTTTATTCAATAACAAGTCTTATACAAGGTACATTACGTCATGCAATTGAATCTGAAACATTTTCACTTGATCGTATTTGTCGTTTATCATTACAAATAATTAATGGAACTATTTATTTACAAGCCAAAGGTCTTTGTCCATTAACACCTTGGTATATTTCATTTCCATTTATTTTTCTTGTTACTAATTTAAAATTTTTAATTCATATAAAGGTATACAACAAATATTGAATTAACACGTGATGATCGAATTCGATTATGTTCACCAACAATATCAAGAACTAAACTTAACGGTGGAATAGTACAAAATCATCATCTATGGAGACATTCACCAGAAAGTTTATTACGAATGATTATTAAAAATGAATCTCTGGCTGAGTAAGTTAAAGATGATTATTTTTCAAATTTATTTGATCTTCTTCAATACGCTTTTCAAGAGAATCGCTAGAATACGTCCAGTTGATTTCGGAATCATCCCAACGGATTCTATTCTTCTCTCTTTTGAAAGTTTTTTCTTTTCGGTCTATGACTAAAACAAAATTTCTACAATTCATTTGACTATAACTAAAGTAGTGATGTGCATGATAAGTAGGATGATCCTACAATTGTTGTTTTTCTTTTCTTTAAAAGTATTTGATTCTAACGCTCATTTATTGTGTGCTCAAGATTATGCAAAGAGTTAGCAAGAAGGCATTGTATTTTTCTTCAATTGTGGATAGTAAACGAAAATCTCTTCTGTTATTGTAAGAAAAAGAATATGCATAAAATAATATTAAATTCATCATTTTACATTAATAAAATGATGACAACTTGTCCGGCTAATTCTGCTATCGGAAGAATGAGTACGTTACTATTTAAGTGCATATTATTCTTCTCATTAATTTTGAATGGTTGACTAGGAAAACATTAGCGATATTCTATTTTGTCATTCAGCTATGTTCTACAAATATACACTTTTCATTTTCTGTGCACTTAGCTTGCTCCTTTGTCTATCTGAACAAAAGTTTTAAGGTTTCTTCAAGTCATTAAAAGTTTGTTAAGCATTGTCATGTCTTTATTCTAATACGCAAAACAAAATGAAAAGCATAGTTTAAGGAACAAACAGAATATGTTACTTCCGTTTTCCTAATCAACCATTCAAGACTCATCATAAGAATAAAATGTATTGAAATGGTAACGCACTCACTCTTTCGGTAGTAGAGTTAGTTAGATAAGCCTATAATCAAGATGATACCATCTTC